TTCGCCCCTGTCGGTAGCCAAGTATTCCTGATTTATTTCACGTTTGCTGTTAGAAGGCGACTATGACGCAAATTTGTTTTTGTCAGCGAAGGGATCGGTCGTCGACTGATTTACAGTTCACCTTGCGCGCTGTTTTTGTAGCAAAATAGTGCGCGTCAGTTATTTACGTTTTTAGACCTTGTTGTGATTCTATTATAATTACAGTGAGGCAGGCTTCGCCGTTATATGGTTATTAGATTGTTTTAATGAATAAATCAACTCGGTCGAAGTTCTTGTTATTGTTACACTAGGAAGTTGTTGTTATTGCGTTTGATTCACTTGGAAGTTGTTTTGTAGAATTTTTTATAGAGTGTACACCTGTTATTATTGTCATAGATGTATTCTACAGTAAAGTTGCATTGAAATGAAATATATAGCGAAACCTATTGAAATCAACAAAAATTATTTTGCCCTCCAATATTATTTGTCTACAGTAATCAATGAATTTCTGTCTATTAATAGTTTGTTACCGGTTGATATAAATCTTTCCATGCTAATAACTATGCAGGCATACACGTTAATTAGAATACTTTTGTTATTTAATTCAAATTATTCAAGATGCTTGGTTAGAGAAAATTGCATTTTATACGCATTTTAAATGAGTTGTATACACATGACCTCTTCTGTTTATCCATTTGTGGATGATGACATTTGTATGTACAGATGCATGATCTCGTTACACGCAGATTATTTGATAAATATGTATTATTGAGCATATATACAAATAGGTATATATACTTTATATTTGTATGAAATAAATTTGAGTTATGATAATCATAATTTATGACAAAAATTTTAAATAAAAGTTTTTCCATTTTCTTTTCAATAGTTTATGTTAAATTCAATTGAATAAAAATTCATTCATTATATGCGTTTCAGATAAATGAACTTAGTCATGTTAATATACCGGTAATGCTCCTGCCAGATGATTTCAGAGCCTACAGCAAATTAAAAGTGGATAATCATCTTTTCAACAAGTGAGTTCTGTAATATTTTCCAATGATATGTCCATTGATTTAAAGCAGAAGAGATGCATAAAAAGAGGACAGATTAAAATGCATTTACAGTTACAAAGTATAAGAACATTGTTTCATTTAATATAGGAAAGAAATCGGTAATATAAATTTAAAGCATAGCACAGAGGTGGTCTATTCTAAATATATCCCTTAAATACTGAATTAGTAGGTTGGTCACTGCTTTTAATAATAGAATCGATGAAGGTCCTCATGATCTGAGGTTGTGGTTAACGATGAACATGCGAATAACTTTGTTTCCAAATTTGAGAGCGAACGACTCTGTACATTCTACGCATTTAAAGATGTTGGAATTCCAATAACATTATGTAGCAATATTTTATTGTTTCTTTTTATCAAAGACTATGAATATTTATTCAAGCCATTTTTTTCTTTTAGAGAGAACATGCCCTCTCATTTTAAGATCAAAGAATATTGTCCATTAGTATTCAGAAATCTAAGGGAAAGATTTGGTATAGATGATTTGGACTATAAGGAATCTATGACAAGGTAAATGATAGTTTATTTAATGCTTTCTATCTTTTAAATACTTATTTGATCTGTAAATATAAGTTTGAACACATTTTTAAAGTAGCAACATACTCAATCTCTATTTGCAATGCACTTTAAAAATAAAAAGCAATTCTTAATACACTTTTAGATGCCTTCCTTTCTATTATATTGCACTGCATGCTCAAAATATGTATTATGTTATACGAAAGCTTTATGTTAAAAATTATAATAGTGTTCGTGTAAAATATTTATGTATGTACCAAAGTAATTTGATGAATGTTTTTTTAGTTCATTCCATTACAAAGTGCATTTATTTATTTATAGAACATTGCAGATTTAGAGGCTTTACTTGATACAACCTTGAGGGAAGATAATCTACAGAATGACTCATAGGCAAAATAATTGTAAATAAGAATTTTTTATCTTGATACCTGATATCAGTTTGAAATGAGATGTCACGAGAAAGATTTTTTGTTGTAATCTCAATAACATTTTCCATTAATGAAAGTGCGTACTTTTTGTGTTTGTACATTTTTAATATGTCTGAAGTTCCAACGAAATTTTTGCTACATTATATACATAGTTGAATTTTATAACGATAGTTGAAAATAAATTGTAATGAATACTTCGAAATTTTAAAAAATTAAAGCATTATTATAATACAATCTTCCTTTCACGAGGCATGTAAATAGAAGTGTATTACTAGATGTTAAATTTATGTGACTAACATCTTCTATATAGGGCAGAAGAAATACAATTTTTATAACTGTTATTATACTAGGAAAGAGGCAGTTGATATACTATACTTTATTATAAATAGAAAATATACTTTTCATTTGAAAGTATTAAGAATAGATTGTTAATGGTATACTGTAATATATAAATTTTAATGTTAGATGTCGGGCATTTAATCCTTCACAAACAGAGAGGCATTTGGATTTGACTGGAAAGGCTCGTGAATTGGTTCAGCGCTCTGCTACTGCTCCTTCAATAACTCTTTCTCCTGCTACTCCTGTTTTTCCACAAATTCCAGTCCTAAATAAGCCGCTACGTTCCTACAGTTTTAAACCAAAACGTCTGAGGTTAGCCAGTCTTGATTTTTTAGTTTGTGCGTGTTATTTGTGGCTAACTTGTTTCCATGAGTTCCTTATTAAAGACAAAGAGTCAATTCAATGAAACCCAAAGCACATACATCATTTCACAAAACTCTTATCAGACACGGACAATATATGCATTTAATGATGCATTACTACAAAATATCATAGATTAAATCCCATAAGTTATATTGAAGCATGCTTTCCTTTTACTGTGATATATTTTTTATTTGAATTTAAGGTGATTGGCAGACATATACATAATTTTATGTAAATTTTTTTTACTTCGTTGTAGTACACAATTTAATATATAATTAATGAACGAATCATGCTTAATATTTAATTGAAAAACAAATTTGCTCTGTTTTATATGCATGTAAAACATAATAAATGTACACTAATGAGTACTAGTATTATATAAAATTATCAGGAGAAGTATAGTGTGCTTTGATGTGTAAGAGATGATTGCTTTTATTTTATAGAAATGCGTTAGGCGATTATTACTAATAATTGAAATAAATAATTGGTATTACTTTTTTTTTCAGATCACAGCCAATACTGGATGACCCTTCTGGAAAAAGTGGTGCAAAATTTTACCAGTCCTACGACAAATTGTTTATTATTAAAACTCTTACCAGTGAGGAGGTAGAAAGGATGCACTCGTTTTTGAAACATTATCATCCGGTATGGAGGAGGAACGATTATTGCAACAACCTTTCCTATTATCATTTAAAACTAACATTATTAATTTCAGTATATTGTGGAAAGGCATGGGAAGACATTGTTGCCACAATACCTTGGCATGTACCGTTTGACGGTGGACGGAGTCGAACATTATGTTGTTGCCATAAGAAATGTATTCTCGAATCACTTAACAACCCACAAAAAATTCGATTTAAAAGGTTCAACCGTGGATCGCGAAGCATCCGACAAAGAAAAAGAGAAAGATCTGCCGACTTACAAAGACAATGATTTCGTGAAAGAGGGAATGAAAATTTATATCGGTGAAGAAGCAAAGACGAAACTCATAGAGACATTAACTGCTGACGTTGATGTGAGTTTTCCTGTTTATATATTGCATATTATTTTACTATATGTGGTAACAAATAACTTCTATTTTAACAAGTTCCTAACACGATTGCACTTAATGGATTATTCTTTGCTGCTCGGTTTACACGATTGTGCAAGAGCTGAACAAGAAAATAGAGAGCGCGCAGAAAGAGAGGAAGAAGAGGAAAATCATGAAGACGAAGAGGATAGTGAGTCTGGGAGTGGATTAGATTCTCGAGGTCCGATGGGAGAGTATGTATCGTATAAAATAATTATCAAAATGATTTATTCCAAATGTTTTTAATATTTATTCAATCCTTCAGCCGTTTATGGGGTTGGAGTGGCGTTGCTGGAATGGCAACACCACCTGAATCACCTCATGCTCCATTAAACCGTGACACCAGTCTACAGTACGAAGATGCAATAATTCCTGAATTAGATATTTATGCAATTCCTAGTAAAGAAGGTAATAATTATTTCAATCGTTGAATTCTGCATACTTAGTAAATTGCATAACGTTGCAGTTCTGAACCTAACATCGAAATACCTTTCTTTTTTTTATTCAGGTGCACCTACGAAGGAAATTTATTTTTTAGCCATAATAGATGTATTAACTCATTACGGTGTCCGTAAGCAAGCAGCGAAGGCAGCTAAGACAGTGAAATATGGTGCTAACGTCGATGGTATTTCAACCTGTGATCCAGAACAATACGGCAAGCGATTTATAGAGTTCATGAGCAAAGCCATAGAATAAGTTCGTTGTTCGTTGTTGCTATGCTTGTAAATTTGGATCGCTCGTTTGAAAATCGTGACGGTACTGTCGCTTTCAACTGACAAAACATCGTTGATGTTTTCGCGTTCACGAATCAGGGGAGGTTTTAGTGCATCGAATGGTCTATTCGTTGCACGTGATGTTTGACCACAAAGGTGTGTGCGTTTTCACACGGTGCGTCAGTGATGACGCTTCACCGTCAAGTTGTCTCAGTATTCCTTATGACATTCACAATGGAATTAGAAACGTAACAAATGAATTTCACGGCCCGCCGATGTAAAGGAGACCTTTTAAGAATTTTTTCCCGGAGGAATGTTTGTTACCTTTTATAACTAGTGACATATTTTCTCAGTATTCGCTTACGATGTTTCCACAATCACGCTCATTCGACTATATGGTTCTTGGTTTCCTGTTTTCGTGGAGTTCTGTCTGTGCTTTCATTTTTGAATGCATTATGTGTACAGACACGCGAAAGCTGTAGAAATATTGGAAGAACTAATCGAGTACCTTGGTTATTTTATCAATGAAACGTTACTTAACATTATACTAAAAAAACGAAAAAAAAAGAGAGAGAAGAAAATATATTAGTATTTGTTAGCGTTATTCAATCTTGTCGTTCCTAGTAAAGTGATTCGAAGAGCAACAGTCATCGAAGCGCTGTGACATGTTAAGCATTGGCATTATCAGCAATGACGATAAACAAAAAAAAAATCATATATCTCGCTATCTCGTGTGTTATTGTTGGTACACATAATGTATAACGAAAGCTGGATCAATTATCGTTGTACAACAATGAATTATACGTAACGCTAGTTTACCGAAAAGTTGAAAATTAATGTTGATGTTACACACGTATAACAATCTCGAACGAAATTCGTTCGAAGTATTTTGCGAAGGAAGCCTACACCTATCATAAGGAGCCTCTCCAGTTTCATAAAGAAGAATCAACAATGCTTCTGGTCTAGTGTCTGTGGTATTATCTGGAATGTTTAAAATATTCGAATTAGAGACATAAAATAATATATATATTAAACGAGAAGTAATATATATATTATACGCGCAGAAGGTATTATACTATATATGTATATGTATATGTGTGTGTGTATATATGTATATATATACATATAGTATAAGAGCTTGAAACTTTTAAGAATTACGAGTAAATGTTAAAAGTTTGTAAATGTCACCTCCTCGGTCGTTTCAGTTACCGCGAGTCGGTGTTAAGGCCATCGATTCGCTTAGTTCGTCAAAGGTATTTACAGGGAACAAAGCGAGTCGTATGTATTATGCACGATTTATATCTCCTTTCACTCGTGAAAGTGCTCAAAGTTAGCCCGCGTTTCGATTATTAGAATTTAAGAAAATCTGAACGGCATATATGTATATATATATGTATGTATATGTATATATACATATATATACTCTCTGTTTTAACGCATTGAGGGTGGGACAGCCGGTTATTCCGTTTCTTCATAACATGTTTTTCTTTTGCCATCGAAAAACTAATGACACAATGGTTTATCAACAGTGTATCGCTTCATTCAAGAGTGAATAGTCTGACAATAATTCCTTAGAAAAAATCGAACTTTAGCTGTCCAGCATTAACAGGCAATTTCGCAGGCTCAGTTTAAATTTGAATATATTCAATCTGAAAGTTTTAATTAATTAAATCATAAAATGATTAATATATTAAATCTGAATCATCTTTTTGGTTGTAGCTAGCGAAAACCGTATTAAATATAATTTCTACTGCTCTTAAGTCAACTCAGGGATACTTAACGTGGCGGACTACACACACACAACACACACACAACACACAAAATAAGAGAAGTTTAATGACCGGTAGTATTCGCTTCTCAATGCGTTAATACTACAGCGCAACTTCAGCTGCACAACAACTCGCTTAACAATTTCTATGCAGGTTGACTTTACTATAGCTTCACATTTTTTTATTCGGAGAACTTATCTTGCAACAACTAGCTTCTAATAGACAATATTCTAAGGTCGCGTACGCGTGTCTCGTTTGTACTTGCGTAAAAGCAAAAGGGAGAATGCATCGTCGCATAACACTCTTTTATCTTTAAATAAACAAAATAACCGATTTTTTAATCATTTGTTGTTACATTCTGTCCTCCTTTCCAGCTTCGTTAGTTTTGTTGCTCGTGTTACCGTGGCTACTTCGAAGCGCTCATCCAAGTTTCTTTTTTTTTTCTTGATTTCCTTGGACGTCCCTTGAAGTTTCAAACTGCCATAATGAGAGCACAATGTATCATTTGCCATGTTTGAAACAATCGTTCCGTTTGAATATTTTCTCAACGAGGACCTGGTAGTCTCATCCTCGCAATGTGTCATTATTTGTATCAGCAAATATCTGGAGTATGTTAGGTAGCAGTCTGTGAGTAAACATCCTGTACTCATGGAATTGGTCTAGCAGATTTGTTGAAGTATCTCAGTGTGACATGCATGTATGGAGAATGAACATCAATGTTAATCTATTTCAGTCAACGTAGGCCTCTCTCTGCCTCTCCTTCTAAAGAGTCCTCTGTGTGTCTACATACTAAAAATGAATGTCCTCTTTGAGCCAGGTCTAGTATCTGTCATCTCATTCTCACTTTCTGGAAGTTGTATTTTCTAGATCTTCTTTATAAATTTGGCTGACAATTGTTATCTCCTTTTCTTTCACAATTTCTTTTACATTGTTTTCTTGAGAAAACTTCACATTGTTCTTCATTGTTAGTAATGGGTATAAACCTATTGCTAGTTTATCCTCTAAGTTCTTGCAATTGATGTACAATAAGTACAATACATTTGTGAAGCATTGTTCATTTTATTATCGTTGACATGTTTAACAATAGTCGAAGCATTCCATGATTCTTCTTTTAGTTCTATAAAAATGGATTTATCGAATTTGTTACTGCATACTACCAATTATCCAGTTAAATATCCTATCCAGACATAATCCAATCAGTGTTAGCGTCTAATATTATTCTGTTTCTGGAATAAATAAAATAGTCAGGCGTAGTTGATGAAATTAATAATGTAGCCTGACTATTAACGTCAATAAGGCGAACGAACCATTCTCCCTCATTATCGCGGTTACCTTGGTTGCCCAATTAGACAGCGCGTAGGTACTTGATGTTGTTTAAAAAAAACCGATCATAATATAATAACTAATTACTTTAACTAATTAAGGTATTCATCTAGTCTTGATACTTTATATGATTTTATACGTTGCCAACGCATTGAAAGGATAAGCGAAGCGAACACGGAGTAAAAAGAATGTAATGCAGTATCATTGAGGACACTCTGTACTATACAATAACGTTATCAGTTGCAAGAGTACGCTCAATTTCTGTAATGTAGTAATTTCTATAAGATAAAACAAAAGCAATTGAATATTATAACTATTTCTGCCGAATAGTTTACTGCTACGCGGAAGCGAATTTTTTGAATATATATATATATTTTTTATTGTTAAATGATTTACATTATTATTGAAAACAATTGAACAATTGATGAATAATCAGTTCCAAACCATCGGGTTCGATGTCAGCCGTTCGACTTTTAAATTCAACTATAGAAACGAGAAAAAGATTTCGATGATTTTTCCATATAGATTCTCATAGTTTGCACTATGCGGAAATGATGTATATATTCGCTACTTTGCTGTTGGCAATACATATTCAGGCTTCTGTTGTCCTAACATTTGTACTATTCGCAGAGTCTGTGTTGTATAAGCCACGGGAAATAAATGGACATTTAACACTACACGGAATTATGAATAAAAATGAACCGATTTTAGGCAAGAATATTTTTAATTTTAATAAGATACCACGAAATTACTTTTCCTTTTTTATAAGCTAAATATATGTCTCGAGTAACAATATACTTTCAATTATAAACAACTTAATTATACTTTTATCTATAATAATAATTCAGTTATAAAATATATATATATATATATATATATATATATATATTTTGTAATGAAATGAAACAAAACTATATTAAGCGCCAATTTTTACACGCTTATAACTAATTTGTACTTTTCGTTATTGCATGAAAACAATAGAAGAGAAATTCCATCCCTTGATCACTTTGGTTTTTGCATACATATATAAACTATGTAATTAGTCTTATTTGTGATAAAACTCTTCACGACGATTCGTAATGCGATACGCCGCGTACGAATGTTAATCAAATAAATCTAGACGCGAGGTTTTTTTGTGTTATTTTCCTCTGAGGCGCAGCAATCTTTCCGCAAAGCGGAATCTTGTTTTTCTGGACTGAAATAACTGCTGCGTTTTCTTCTTGGTACAGGTGATACTTGCTTTAAGTGTTCCATGTCATTAAATACCACTTGGGCACCTCCTCCGCTAGTTGGTAATATATCACCCTGTAATACGGAGAATATTTTTGGCTAATGTATTCCTTTAGATTTTTTTTTTGGTGTAAAAAAAGAAAAAATATTAATACCAACTTTGTACAGTTTAGTTTCAAGTTCACCGTCAATGTCTTGCTCCTGTGCAACAAGGCAATATCTGGACACTCCATCTGTTATATCCTTCGGGTCTGTCAATTGTGTTACACTTCGTTTGCGTCTTAAAAGCGGTTGAAGGATAGTTCCGACTGGAACCAAGCCAGAAGGCCGATGGTCTACCCATCTCTCAGCACTTTGCGATCGTCTGTATCGCAAATTCACTACTGGAATTCTTTCCTAAAAATTATATAAAGTAAAAAGTGAAGTATGATGCAAAGTTCTCGCTAAATCGACTGGTTACTCAGAGTCACAAGTTGTAATATCTTTTTGTCATACTACATTTTACATGAAAAATATAGATGCGTGCATATATTATATTCATACAAAATTGTGATAATAGTTTCGAGTAACCAGTCGCGTAGATTTTAATATTACAGTTATATTAAGTCTGGCATCACAGGTGTCTTCGAACTTAACAGTGGACGGTGTTTTCACACTGGTTTTTGGTGTAGTTTCTATAGGAGATACAGTTTCTGATGCTGGTGTAGAACAAGTAATAGTTTTAGCTGTGGTAATCTCTGTATCACTTGAAGTCGTTGCTGGAATTGATTCTTTGGGTTCCATTTCTCCTTTAGTACCAGTCTCATCATTATGTAGAATTTCTTTCATTAGTTTTAATTTCTCATCTTTCTCTTTCATTTGGTTCTAAAAAATATGTGTTGGGAAAAATACAAACATGCACAAGAAGATAAAAAATGTGAAAAAAGTGGTTATTTATAATAGATTTGTAAATAACAGTTAAATACCTGAAGAATTTCACGTTGCCGGCGTAATTTGGTTTCTAATTCCTTGCTCATCTTATCAGTTTCCATTTGAATCTTGTTACTGTATTTCTCTTTAACTCTCTGCTTATCTATTGCACGTTGATTTAATAACATATCCTTGTTCTTTAGCTGTAAAGGAAGTCAACTATTAATTTCTTATTCTATATAAAGTGGAGGTAACGCTGAAATAAAAACCTTACTTCTTCCTTCATGTGTCTGATTATATCGTTTGCGCTATTTAATCTGTACAGTAGAGTATCAATTTGAGATTCCGTTTTGCAAATATGGGATTCCAAAGCAGTGATCTATAACAATGTAATCATGATGTTTTAATTGTTATAACAATACGTTAAATGTGATGTTTAAATATTTGGCTAGAAACTTACTTTTTTATTCTGTTTATCATTTGACGCTTTCAATGCGGAATTTTCAATTTTTAGGGATACGTTCTCCCGCTCCATTTTTACTAACATATTCCTGAAGTTAGTTTCTGCAAATATGAAACACACGTTACATAATTTTCAGAGAGATTAATAGTTCGTCTACAATAAGAATGTAAGTACGCTTTTGTTTTAAATCCTCTTGTAAGGTGTTTCGTTTTTGAATACGCATTTCCAAGAAACGCATAAGTGTGGTAATTATTTCGTCATTGTGTGGACTTGTTAAATCTGTAGCTGGAAATGGTCCGCCGAGACTACGAGAAATTTTAAAGTATAAGAAAGAAATACTTTTATCTTAAATATTTTTAAGTAATGTACCTGTATACTAAGCCCAAATCAACTTCCAAATCACCAGCAGCTGGATTCCCAGCGGATTCTAATCTATTTCTTGCTTCTTTAAATATCTGTACAAGAAAAAATAAATGACAAACATATTACATGTATATACACGTTCAAGTCTAGTATATTTAAAATATATATTGTCTACTTTATTAGCTTGTCTTCTGCCAGGCGTGTATCCTAAATCTAGTTTTGAAGTTGCAGAATTGGTGACTTGCACTTCCTGACTGACTTCAGCAAATTTCATTACTTGCTGCATTAAAATAAATTTTATTAACACAGTGTTGACACATTTTCGTTTGTAGTATTTAGAAGGAGTACTTACTATACTTTCATCATAGTCATCAACTCTAGGATTAACACAAACAATCATTCTGACTGTACCTTCACCATCAAAGTAATTCTTAAACAGGTGGGTTACTTTAGAGTCTCTGTAAGGGACTATTTTATTTGTGCCCTGAGTTTGATTTTCACGAAGTATTTCCAAGCATGTTCTTAGAGTCATCAATGAATTATTTATATTCCCTATTTTCATAAAAATACTTTATGTAGATGACAAATTGAAATCTTTAGTTATTTAACACTTACCCGCTTCTCTAAGTCTTTGACCAGTATTTTTAGAACGATTTGTACGTTCACTTCCAGCTAAATCAACTAGCGATAACTGACTAACACAAATTACTCTTTTATCTTGCACAATTTGTTCACCATCCCTATCTAATGGCGCCTGGTAATAGATAATGTAGTAATGACTATATGATTATAAGTTAATATTATTATTAATTTATTTTACCTGCACAAGTCTTATGGTAAAAACACTATGAGATCTACTTGATTCAGAATTAAGGGCAGTATATGCAATATGTCTTCTGCGTTGACCCCTTTGGAACACTTCAAACGCTTCCTCTGAATTTTTCACTTCAATTTCTGTACATCCATGAACGTACATGTTTCTGTTTCCATCTTCACGAACAATTTTACTCTGTAAAGTCCTGAATTTTCCAATTTTTTTTTCATACATCAAATTATAACTTAATCATCTGTTTTAAAAGGTATACTCACTTTGCTCTACTTTCATTATCATCCAATAAATCGTACACGCTATTATTATAAATTTCAACATACGTTACAAACACAGCGTATGCATTGTCTTCATCTACAATTAAAATTTGTGGTTCACTAGTTTGAAGGAAACCATTCTTATTATTATTTTTTTCATCGTCAAATACAAACCTTAGAAACAAAAGTATTAAAGGTGTTAAGTATTAAAGAATTAATCATATTTATATGATAAATTGAAACAACATACATTTTAGGAGTTTTCCCATTCTGAGTAATAATAGACTTTTGATGTTCAATCTGTCTATCTAATAATGCATCAGCTTCAGATTGCACGTCAAATCCATTTAATTTATCTGGTTTAAAAGTGAACTTTTTTGCCTGGAACTTTGCTATACTGTTAAAGATAACATCCAGACTACGAGGCATGATGCCTGCATCATACTGATTTCCTGACATAGTATATGTTTTACCACTACCAGTTACTCCATACGTAAAAATTAAACTATTTGTACCATTAATCAGATTCTCAACTAATGGTAGGGCAACCATATCAAACACTTCTTTCTGAGAAGCATTTGGGCCAAAAACATGACTGAAAGACGTTTGAATAACTCTGTTCGCTGTGCGAATATTTGTTGCTGATTCTGGTGGTGTAATAACCAGGGTTGTATCTGATATGATTTTCATACACGACAAATCATTTGGGTCAGCTATTGGTTTCAAACGACAAAAAACCTTAACAGGTTCCTTGCATGCTTCATTGTGAAATTTTAAGCGGTTAGTGCATTTTCCAATTGTAACAGGTGGCTTGCGATTTCTAATAAATAAAAGAATCACAAATAATAAAATACTTTTACAGTAAAAATATAAAATATGTATAAAATTTAATTAGTACTTACGCAGATTTCATTTTGGAATCAAATAACAGTCATAAAGGTTAAAACAGGTTCTGTTATGAAATTAAGTAATTTTTATAATTAGTTTATTCTAATATTTATTTGATGGTTAGTTTGTCTCAATGTTTATTTGTAGTAACCGTTGTAAACGAACTATCATTAACCAAGTTCAAAATTCAAATAAGTATAAAGTGAAGTCGTCTATAGTAAAGAGTAAGGTGAATTTTCATTTAAACAATAGAATGTTGATTTGTGTATATAAGTTTGTCCAGTTCAAAATTATATAGTATCTTTGGCTATACTTGATAAAGTATGTGAACAGTAATAAGCGGTTAGTAGTTCAAATATTTTTCTTTAGATGGCGTCTCAAGTTGTCTTAACGAAATTTTCCTTGTTTTATAAAAAATTAAATAATAACGAAAGAAAGAAAATCAGAAATATAAAATATATAGTATTGACATAAAAAAATTAAGTTAATTATATGTTCGTAATCCAGCAATATTTTATACATAATTAGAGAAGTAAATTTAAACTGGAAAATTTATTTAACTCTTAAAACATTACAGATGAGAGATCAATTGAATACATTTTTGATAATAAAAGTTTTATTTAACAGAAACATTTCCTATGAAGAAATATTCTTATAACATAAAGTTTTTATACACTATCATTTTCAGTTTCTTTGTATACAGAATTAATATATGTATATTTTCACTTTTTTTTAGATACAAATTCAGTTTCATAGTTCATATGAGTTCCATCACAGAAAGGTCTATTAGATGTTTGTTTGCAATTACACAACCAATATGACTTAGTTTCTTTAACTACAAATCGTATAGGCCTCTGAGTAATCTTTAAAAACTGGTTTCTGTGAGTGCCATCACAGAATGGCTGTGTGTGACTGTAACCACATAGGCACCATGAATATTTTTTACCAGCTATGCATGTAAACTTAAAAGGCTTGGTATCATATATCTTTCCATTTTGTTTTTGAGAATTTGCACTATAATATTCTTTTATTTCATTTTTAGGAATTTCTACATTGTTTTCTTCCTTTTTAACAGAATACCTCATCTGAAATCAATTAAAGACATATTTAATGAACTACAGTACAGTTTTGTAACATACATAACCTAATAATAACTACTAAATAAATTGGGAAAATAATAAATACGTAATGTGTACTTCTAAACAACATTCAGATTAATCGATACACTTACGGTCTGACATTTAAATGAATTAAAATATGAAAATCGTAAGATTCTACTCAACACATTAATGCTCATTGTAAGTAATTTTTCATTCGTACACGCCCAGTCCAATATTCCTTCCCCACTAGGTTAACCAAGAAACATTATCTCCCTACACTATAAATATTATAAAGTATTATTGTATGTTTCCTGCGGTGACGAAAAAAGCAACATTATCTATGAACTTTGAATTACAAATGCTGTGGTTTTTGAAGAAAAAACTTTCAGAGGAAATTTTAAAATCAGATTTATTTGCTGAATATTTCTCGAGTCTTGCGAAAAGGGACAAACTGCAATTTAAAGATGTAAACTATTTTCAATAAATCAATACTTCCTGAAAGTGGACTGCTCGATTATTACCCTTTACAATTGTCCTAAGCAAGAAAATCTAACAAATATCATTGTTATAAATAAATAGTCAGTAAGGCAAAAAAATTCAAATTTAACAATTGGCAGCGCCATCTACCAGCGAACATATAAAGTAGTGAAAATAGAAAAATACGAATATCTCGTAAACCAGACATTAAAAATTTATATTTATGACCCTGATTTATTTATTGTGATTCTGTGCATCCAACTCAAGCCATTACATCTCTTAATTAAACGCATAATGCATTTTTCTAAAATAGGCAGTTTATGGGCAGAGAAACACTATCACCACGTAGCGGTGAAATGGTGGAACTAATTTACGCTATTGATTGCACCATTTGTTTCGTAAGATACCTGCTAAGTCATATTTGCTGTCTAGTAGTTTCAGTATTATACCATAGATTGCGCCGCAGTCGCTCTTTGTGAATTTCCACATCGGTAACATTTAGCTACTAGTTTTAGCGTTTTGCCACCGATGGCGCCACAGTCTATCCTTGTGAATTTCCACATCGGTAACATTTGGCTACCAGTTTCAGCGTTTTGCCACGGGCGGCGCTGTCAATCAAAAGCGCAAATTTTCGATTTATTTGAATTTTAAAGTAATAATTAGAAGTTTTTGTGAGAAAATAATATATTTAATATTGGACAATATGAAATAACATTATGTATAATTTACTCTAATAATATTATATATACAAATATATATATGTAATGCACTAATTAACAAGCAATGTATTGATATATAAAGTTCGTTATGACTATAAGTATGTTTATATATACATAAATATTTATATAAATGGACTTAGAACTATTTGTATTAGACATATCGTACAAAATAATTCACTGTGTTCTAGTATTATACTTAATAGTACGTATGTTGATAATCTTACAATTATTACAAGGATATTCTCAATGTTCTTAATATTATATGCTCATCAATATGATCACAGTCACACTCTTCCTTCATGAATTGACACAGTAATACAAAGAACTAGTTATCATTTCTCAAAATTTTATGGGGATTATGTGACTCATCACAACTGGTTTGATGGCTTACTAAGAACATATTGCAATAGGCATAGGAATGTTTATAATATTGTTAAACTTTCTGTCTCTCTCTCTTTCTCACACACACATGCACTCTTTGAATATATGTAGATCATTCAATAAATACACAGTATCAACAATATTAGAATATCACAAGAGTAGGAAGTCCATACTTCTATAGTTTTTCAACATTCACATTCCTCAAAATGTCACTAATTAAATATAAATTAATAACTGTACATCAGCTATTGTTCCACAGGGAAATAGTTTTGTCTAGAAAAAGCTCACAGTTGAAATAGAAAGGAATACTGGTGACCTTAATTATTTTAGTACAAGCCTTACAATCCACTTCTCGTGGTCCAACCTGAGGAAATACTTTCACAGCTATGACTCTTTCGCTTTGGTTTAGATTTTTAACTGTAAATCTCCTTTTTGTCATTCTATCAGATGTAAACATGCTGCAACGAGATAGTATGAGCATTGTTACATTTTGCATCTGAGTCGGATATTGAATTTTTTGTACTTTTTCCATCATCATCATGAGATAGATCTAAGAATAAATTATCATAAGCGTAGGCATTAGATATTTTATGCGGTTGCTTTTCTTCAGAAAGGGAGGCAAATTTTTCCAAAGAAATATTCCTTGATTGTGCAGAAATAGTGGGCAGTGTCTGGCTGGTACTGTTCCACTCTGATTTACTGGAAAAGTTACTCTCTATTTGATCTAAGCTTCTGCCTCTGGTCTCAGGCAGAATTATTATAGCAAATAAGGTTCCTAGGATGCTAGCTCCAGCAAAGGTCCACATGATAACTTCAATGCCTGCCATATAACGTAGGTCTGGGTATAGTTTAATGGTGCCAAACGTTAAGAGTTGAGCTAAACTGGTAGTTATGCCACCTAATGGTCCTCTGAACCTCAGTGGATACAGTTCTGAGGTCATCACCCAAGGTAATGTAAGAAATCCTATCATCGAAGATCCTACGTGGCCTCCAATGCATACCAAGGACACTGTTGATGGTAGTTTGAACCTGTAAACATCAGAGGAAGTATATTACTAAGATGTTAGATGAGTGCCAAGGAGAGAAAATGTTTAGTGCCTTTATATGTTCAATGATCTGCATATTGTTCAAGATAATTATTTCATAAAAGTCCATGAAATACATATGAATCGTGGCTCTATTTTCCCAGCAGTCTTAGATTATGATTTTTCCTTCTTTCAAATTAGTCGTTATCTTATCTTATATTTTACTTTTCTTATCTAGATAAATAACACTGATCAATCTACAAGAACTGCAGTTCTCTTACCGATGAAAGCATTTTATATTTAAATACATATCAAATTAAGAACATCCACATTGAGCCAAGATTGGCAGATAAGAAGAGGAGACAAATACAAGAAAATGTTAGCAATACACAAACTAGATTGTTCAGGAAAAATTCACCTTAGGTAAGTACTACCTTTCTGAGCAACTGCTATTCTAAGCTTACACTTCAATGTTTAATTAAAGTTCCAATTAAATAATAATGCGAACCTGAAGGTCAGAGCAACGCCTACGGCAGAGACTGCCATTCCTAGACCACTGATGAAGGCCAGCACTTTCCTACCAAAGCTGTTGGCAAGACCTGCACCGACGATGGAGGCGATCAATCTGATCATGCCGATACCAACGCTGGCAGTATACTCGTTCAGGTCGTTGATATCAATATCTTCTAGAACGGTCACAGCGTAAAATAGAATTATGTAGATCCCCGACATTTGTTGCAGAGCGAAGAAGACAAGAAGGATCAGGAACGGTTTCCAAACACTTGGCATGTGAAGAGCTTTGGTCAAACTCTCTTTTGACTCTTGCCTCTTCAGGTTCGAGTTGCAGAGTTCTTCATATTCTTTATCTGTGGTCGAGCCAGGTCCCCGTAGCCATAGCAACGACTCCTTTGCTTCTTCATTTCGTCCTCTAGCCATTAGCCATCCTGGAGTCTCAGGAATCATGCTGAAAAAGAAACAAGTGTCAATTTAAAGTTTCAAGTTTAAGTTTATGTTTAATGTCTCGTTAATGTCGCCATTTAAATGAAGTTGTTGGATCAGTAATTACCGAGTCAGTGCTAAAGAAAGGATTGCTGGACCGATGCTAATTGCTGCAGCTTTCTCCCATGTGGTGAATGCACCCAGAGTGTAGATCATAAGGACTCCAAGTGAAACTAACACTGGGCCACAGCTTCCTAGCCAGGCCCTTTGATTTGGAGCTGCAGTCTACAGAATGTTTAATATTATTTATTAATGGAGAATGGATATTAAAATGACAAGTGAAAGTATAAGTAAAGAGTACATAGAAGAGTAAGGGGATAAATACAGTTAAGTATAAATTGATTTGTTGTTTTACACTGAAACTACCAAGCAGTTCAATTGACTTTTGAATATTTCGCTATAGAAACTCCAAGAGTGCATCTGTTCAGACTTTAATTGATATACAATTCAATTTGCGTAGTGCTAAATGAATTTCTTTAATAATTTCTCAAAGAAACATCTGGTAGTTTTAGTGTTAAGATTAAAGTATTAATATTCAGATGCAATAGGTTGGTGAAAGGGACGTTTCCTTGTGCATTATCTTAATATCCTGAGGCAATTTTAAGCTGGTTTTACGAGTGGTCTACAGGTATTCAGAAACAATACTTCTACAGGATAGTTTAATGAATCCCCCAAGGCAACTTGAAGGCATGCCTACACATAGGTAACATGTCTAGGTGTATAGTCTCTCACATGAATCTAGGAATATCTGTTCGTTGAAAGAAAATTTGATATTTCACACAGATTATCTATTCCACACTGCCTTTTGCTACCCACATTAGCATTATTACCTATTGAGCCTTCGCTTGTCCTAGACAATATTTAATTGAGACCTTCAATAGTCTCCTTCAGGATGCCAATTGAAATGTTTCAAAGCCATGATCTACAGATACGCATCTGGATAATGATTTACATGATTTACAGGTACTGCCTCAATAGAGTGTACTCTTTAAATCTAACTTTCTTTCTAGGAACAGTGCATCAGACGTTAAGTGCAGATCCGCCAAGCCACGAATCAGACTCTATCAAGTTACAGCAAGATACGAATCAATACAACGATTTTATCAGACTCATTACCGCTATCTAATCCATTATCTTGACTCTAAGATTTCACGATTACTTTGTCCCGCCAGTAGTACGTGAAACTTTTCTAATCGTTCTAGTGTTCAACGACTGTTTCTCTTTCCTCCTAAATAAATGCAATTTATTATTTATAATGTTAGAACAGCGGTTTCAAAATTTTATGCTACTATGCCTTCCTAAAAAAAATTTTGTTTTCCTTGCCTCTCTATCTTTTAATCCTTAGCACTCCAGATGGTTTTGTAATCTGTCAGCAACTGCAACTAACTTTTATAGTATCCCTAGCGAAAATAAAAAATGCTATAACATTTCTTAGATTTTTTATTTTCCTTCTTAGTGCAAAATTTGGATGTGTAAAAAATCTAATAATTGTAGGGTAGTTTCTTTAAGATTCATTAAAATATCTAATGTTATTCCTGGTGCAATATTGGAGCCTACAGAGTTCAAAGGGTTAACCGTTTGATTGCTGAGGAATCTTATGTTTTGCCAAAATAGCGAATAGCGCGATAGCGCTCCTTTGTTATTTGCTCTATTGTAAAAAGGGAATTCACGCGCTTTGTATAGCAAACCACTCGTGTAAAGGATCATAAAAAATTATTTGCGTTAATTTCAGTGAATTATAAGTGCTTTTCACTAATTTTATCCACAAAATGAATTAACCCTCTATGGGCCGAATTTTTGTTCATGATTATAACAAAATCTATGCAGCGCAAAATTAATAAATATCTACATATGAATACGAATTAACAACGTATTCAATAGTTTCAATAATTTCATCCAACGAATATCTTTTGTAACTTTCAAGTTACAATGACGTTAAACTTTTATGCCTGAGCGTAAAAAAGTTGAAATTAACTGATTACTTTATTTTATTCACCACTTCCAGTGCAAAATGAAATAAACTAACGAGATGCCAGTATACTGATAGGTGACTTAAAAGTTACATGAGCCTACAGAGGGTTAAAACAAATTTAACACGTTGACTGCTGTAGGGGTCACCGGTGACCCCCAAACAAATCGAATTACTATAGTTCACTCAATTAAAAGATGATTATTTGAAAACATTTCTATTTTATAAATAATGCTAGCTAATGTGGTAGCATTCAGCTAGACGAACTTGCAATAATAACAATGCAATTCAATCAAATGATTTAATATTATATATTTTCCATTTCGAGTATTTTTCTTTATGAAATCATGTGGCACTTAACGTGTTAAGTAAATAAATGGTATTTTTAAAAATGTTTGTTGTTGCAATGCAATATAAGTGAGTTTATTCTATGAAAAGTGTTCTCCATTTTCCCATACACGCGCAATTAGTTTTGGCATATGTCCGAAGAAATCCGTCAGCAGCCAAACGGTTAATAGATATAACAATATAGAGACGTTCTAAATGACAATATCTTTATTACGAAATAAACGTTACGAAGATAGAAATCATCACCGATATTTTAATCCTTTCTCGACGGCGTACCTGTACCATTCTTCGCCGCTTTTCCCGACGGCGCAACTGACCATACTTTGTCGTCGTTCGCGAAAACGCAAGTGAACCATACTTCGCCACCAATGTATTTACAGCTTTATTTTGAGTTCGCTATTGAAATAAAATAATAATATAAAAAAACCAATACTGCCGTATCTAGACGGCGTCAGCCGCTGTAAAGTAATAAATAACTGCCGCATATAAGCGGCGTCAGCCTCTGTGGACCAAAAAGTGGCTGTCGTATAAACACGGCGTCAGCCGCTGTGACGCACCAAGTGACTGCCGTATATACACGGCACCCGTCGCGGAAGGGTTAATTGAAGAAATCAACCTGCATCGATCCGGAAGCATTGAAGCGAGTCACGCGTCAAAGTTTATCGTGATACACGTACCTCGCTGACGTAAAGGTAAAGGCCGTTCGCCATGCCCATGCCGATCCCACTGATGAATCTGCCGACGTACAACATGGGCACGTTCGTCGATAACGCTATCAACAACCAGCCGGCAGCGTGAGGTAAGCTGGCCAGGGCAATAGCCGATCTCCTGCCGAACCATTCCGCGCATAATCCTGCGATCAATGATCCCAGGGGATTCGAGACGACGCCAAGCGACGCTATCCACGATGTTTCAGACGTGTCGGCGAAATGTTTCTCCAGGAGCTGTGGGATCAGGATCGCGCTGAATCCTTGTCCGAGGCCAACCGATATCTGGCCGGAATGAGCGGCTAGTCCTGCCAATATCTGTAAGAGAAAGCTTTCTTTGAGCAACGTCTACGTGTTCAGTTCTGAACCCTTTGCACTCGAGAGGTGACTCTCACTCATGACTTGATTTCATACAGTAAAACTATACAATTTGATATTTAACACTAGGTTTACGGAACGCGTCAAATTGATGCGTATTGGATTTTAGAAATATTATTTTGTAAATGTTTACGCCGATTTTGATTGATGCGACCACACTGACATGTACCTCAATTACTTACTATCAAATCTCCAATTTTCCACAATCTAAATAAACGAGCATCAATTCTTTTAGGAATAATAGATTAAAGTGTACAATAGATGCCCGTAAACCTAGTGTTAATATTATATTTCTTGTAATGTATCATTTTGTGAAACATTCAAATAAAATAGCTTTGTTCCTCAATGTACGCGTGATTTCTCGTCGACTTAGTTTCACAAAATATCAATATTATCTCGTTAGAAAATGTTAAAATGTTTCTAGTGAAAAACTTCTGAGTGCAAAGGGTTGACAAGTTCTGTGCCACGTGTACCATTTGTGATACACGCCCAATTTTTTTGAGGAAATATGTTTTGTGAAATATGTGGCAAAGGGTAAACATTGCGAAGCAGAGAAAACATGAAATAATATCAAAGTATATATAAAAGTCACCGAAAACTTGAATGTATCTTAATATTTCATTTAGAAAATCAATGCACTCATAAGCTATGTGTATTAGGAAAGTTACTCATTTTGTTATCATTGCAATTGACCAGAAGAATCTAATGATCTGATAGGACAAGTCGGATCAGTGGAACAACATCTGAAAAATTGATAGCTACAGGCTTATTAGCTAAATTTAGTAGGCTAAGTGAATCAAGGGTTTCGGGTGTAAAATATGTGTACTAGGAAAGTTATCTTATTTTGCTATCATTGTAATTGACCGGAAAAATCTAATGACCTAATAGAACAACTCGCTTCGTTGGAACAACATCTGAAAAATTGATAGCTACAGACTTATTAGATAAATCTATTAGACAAGTGAATTGAGGCTTTTGGGTTTGTTTGTCATCATTGCAACTGACTTTAACGTTCTGCACTGATGCTATCTAGGAAGACGCTCTTAATATATCTACACTTATGTTCCACATCAGTAACTATTAATATCTTTCAATTATTCAACTGGACATTAAGAGTCTTGCTAGGTAGACACCAGTGTCTTCCACCACTAATGAAGCTAACCGTTTGAGTACCAAGCGCGATGGCGCTCCATTGCACAAATTAACTTTATTCACTTGTCTTCCTTTTAATCATTTATTTCTGTTATGACCTCCTCAGAACTGAAAAAACGGAACGATCTGTCTACAATCATCCGATATTAAAATAGAAAAGCGTCATTCAGTTTCTGAAGCGGAAGAAGCGCGATGGCACTCCAGAAATTTTCCACTCAAACGGCTAATGACGAATCGTCAGAATAACTTTCCCATGAACATCCGACAACCTCAATCCAGCAGAATCTCGCCGACTGCGAAAGCATCAAATCTACAATTAGGAGGACTCTCGCCGCCACGTAGTAGGAAATCGGCGTGGGTTCCGCGAACGTGTGTTGAAACGATGATGGAATCGGCGCCGGGTTTATTACGTTTTCGTTCACGTAACTCGCGCGCGAATCGTTCACGGTTCGCCGCGTTCCGCCGATCGTCGCTGGCGCGGAAGTGGCTCGAGGAATTTCGTGTCTTCCCGGTGGACGAGCGTCGTTCGCCTCGAGGAACGAGACAATCGCGGGATGTAACGCGACCGTTGTGACGCAAACGCTTCGCTTATCTTGTTCGAAACATGTTCGAGGAACAGTGGCAAGGATCTGCGGACACTGTCATTTGTAGCTGGAGATCTTGCCGCGGGGAAGCTGCAGCTCCGTTTTGCTTCGTCTCTTTCGCTCTGGAATAATCTTATCTTTTTCGGCGTTCACTGAACGAACACATGTTTTTGCTGAGATTTAGTTAACCCTTTGCGCACCTATCTTTTCTTTTGTTTTCCATCTTATCGCCGATAGACTGCCAGTTCGGAATTTTTTTATTCAATGTTTACCGATCTGATTAACGAAGAAGTAGAATATTAACCCTTTGCACTCGAGCGGCGCCTTTCAATCGCCATTCGATTTGACCGAACAAAATGATCAAATTTAGAATTCAATATCAAATTTTATATAATGTATCGACACATGGAACATCGAAATAAACTATTTTTATTAAATATTATTCATTTAAATAAACATAATATATTCTATTAAATATTCTATTAAATATTCTATTAAATATTCTATTAATATATTCTATTAAATAAACATATCATTGATATTTAATCAGAAAATAATGAATATTTGTTGAGAAAAATATTCTCGAGTGCAAAGGGTTAAGTCATTCGTTTGAAACTTGGTATTCCAAAATATAAAAATTTCAATTAACCGAAATGTTGATATTCGTCCGCAAAGGGTTAAACAACAGTAAATTGTCGGCATTCGTTCACAAAGGGTTAAACAATAGTAAAAAGCGGAACTATACACTGGTCACTTGCTATTCAAGTAATTAAGTCCTTCGTTTGCAACTTGGTATTCCATATATGAAAATTTCAATTAACCAAAATATCGACATTCGTCCGCAAAGGGTTAAATTCTCGGTTGTTCTAGTGTTAGACACTGTTCCTAGTTTACTCGAGATGTAGACGGTGCTGCGTCCCTTCATTCGCAAGGTCCTCCGTTATGCGAACGACGGTGGGTCCTTTGCCTTCGTTCCCTGTTTGGAAGTCAATCTCGCTCTCGAGCGATGGGATTTCGCTTCCTAGACCCGCCGACTTTGGACGTAATGGGCACGTAACCGCGCGAGGAACATTTGGACGTCGTTGATGGGAATCGTGATTAGCTTCTCTCCTCTGTCTCTCTTTTCCCTCGACTGTTTAACCAGTTAACTGTGTTTGACGAGTATATACATCATCTCAAAACTCTTAATGCTGCTAACTTTTTCAACGATGGACTATTTATTTTTTGAGACAAACATGTAATTCTTCTTTGTTTCGCTTTAGTTTTTCGTTAGGATATATTTCAAGTGCATTTCGCCTGCATTTAACGAGTACACACTTCATTATTTGATTTTATTGCGCACACAATGAGAGATTTTTCAAACTAAATTCTACACTTAACTGGTTAAGAACCACTTGCGCTGGAAAGACGTGCCATGCACGTCGAGACGTTTCTATCCAAAAATTCTCAATGATGTCTTTCACATTGATAATCTTGTTGCATTGTGTTATTAGATTACTTCGAAATGTATCACTCTATATAAAATGATTGACCCCTTGCCCTATGATTTGTTTTCCAACTGTGATCGACACAGCAACTTCCTAACTAATAATCATTGAAAAAAGAGAAGTCTACATTTGCCCTACAATAGAATCATTGATAACAGAAGAATAATATCTAATTACAATTCAAAGTAAACGAGTAATGTTTATGTTTGTTAAATTCTATTCAAAATCTTCACCACGAGTCTCACGCGTTATTGCAAGGCAAGTGGTTAACAAACAAAATAAGTGTACATATCAGCGTAAAATAGGTAAAAACAAAATTCATCGCAGGAGACTTCGCCAAATTTCTGAATTCATTCTTGTGTTGTGTCAAAATTGCGGAGGCGCTTCTGTTTATCAGTATCAATTATAATTTTCTTACTATATTCTTCAAGAAATAAATCGAAGTAAATTTATTTGAATAAATGTTATTTTTAGATATTTTTTGTAATAACACAATATTTGTGATCTCATTAGATAACTACTCTTATTAATTTTGTTGTGTACACACCCAATCACTTCCGCATTTTTGGTAAATATCCACAAAAGTTGTTTATCATCGAAACGGTTAAGAACCTTGAATCCTCGATTGGCGACCGTTCGAATTTTACGGCGAATCTTTCTTCGATACATTTCTCGCGAGCACGATCGACTAGTTGGCTAGCCTCCTTCGCGCCCGACCGAATGAACGACACAATAGTCTCGATGTAAATTGCTTCCGGGTACTTCTTATCAGCCCGCATGGCCGTTTGAATAATCATGAGTCGATAGGTCGTTTATATTCTTTGCTAGAGGATACGACGAATCGCCGCTGCGTTTCTTTTCTTTCGTGAATGTCCTTGATATTCCAGGAGGAATCTTCTTAACCCTTTGCACTCGGTAGTTTTTCAGTAGAAGTGTGCAAGGTTAACCATTTGCACTCGGGAGGTGACTCTCAGTCATCACTTAATTCGACGCAGTAAAATTATAAAACATGACATTCAATGTTGAACTTTGTATAATGCCTCGATACGTGAAATATTGGAATAAATAGTTTTTTAAATAAATATGTTTCTAATATTATTACATGCAAAGTGACTTAGTGACTTTGTAATTTGCAATGAAGTATCAACAAGGGGTTAACCCTTTGGAAATATCGCGTCTCGTGTCGAAAATTTTAAATCTGACAAATTCGAGTGTCACATATTTTCTTTCAATATAAATTAAATATTATTCTCATTGTTTAAACGTTTCTTTGTTTCTTAATAAATCGTAGCTAAGAAATAAGTCATAGGGCAAAGGGTCAATTACTACGGACGCTTCATTGTTTAAAATTCCTCTAACTAAGTCGTAGACAAATTATGTAATTATTGAAACAGCAAGAAATCAGCACATAGTTTCCTTCTTTTTATACTAATTAAGCAACTTATGTGTAATTTAGCTTCATCTGCTAAAGGTTTTGTATATTTCAAAGCATGTTCGTCCGCAAAGGGTTAATAATAAAGTTTCGATAGAATTCCACGTTCCAATTGAATTTTTGGAAACAAAGAGTCCTTCACGGAGCGAGCGCTCTCGACGATTATCCCGCTAAATTCTGATTTAGCTCGCCATGACCCGAAACCGCGGGCAACTAGCACGTTATATTTTCATCGGAGGACGATGCCGAAGGTTCTCGCTTGAAGCGAGTGTCTTGCGGCGGCATGAATCGCGGATTCTACATGGAAAACGGTGTTTCACGCGACAACGATAACCAAAGCTTCCAAATCGCTTAACACTTTGACTGCCACGGCGGTCACCGATGACCGGAGCTTTCGAATGACAAGAAAATAATTATGACTTGGAAGATAATTGGTTTTTAATCAGCTTACTAATTTTCTAATAAGTTGTACTAATTTTACATAACGTAAATTACTAGATAATAGGGTAATATAAGAATTTTCATATCAAAGAATTAATAACTCATGCTTTGTATCTTTGCTATAGAAAGGACAAGTGACACATAAAACGCTGATGCTTTTCGTGGCAGTCAACGTGTTAATAATTTTTCATTCATTAGTTAACCAATTAACCTTTGCACACTCCTTTGCAATATTCAATTTTGTATTAGGTATCAACACATTAACCTTAGAAATAAATTAGTTCCAACCCTTAATTTACGTAAGATTTTCCTTTGTTACTTGCTAACTGTATTACCAATGTTTCAACAGAAAATAATAAATATTTATAACGGAAAGTATTGTCGAGTGCAAAGTCTTGCTTTGTATCTTTGCTGTAGAAAGGATGAGTGATATATAAGGCACTGACGTTTCTTGTGGCAGTCAACGTGTTACTAACCGTACCGAGAACCAGTCAAATGACTGCGTTTTCTTTTGTTCATTTAATTCCACAATTCCTATATTGCCCGATTAATTTGTTCTCCAATTACCATCCTTCCTTTTGTTTTTGTTTCCATGAACACTAGATTCACAGTCGTTTATTTTACACTTTATTCTATTGTTCCTAGAAAACTACGTGATCATCTACATAAATCGTAGAAATTGTAGTTTGAAAATCAGCATGAATAAAATAATATTTCAAAAATTCAATACCCTTCAAATTGACTGATTCCGTAAATCTAGTGTTAAGGCAAACTGATCATCTTCTCGCAAATTCATTTATCTCTATTTTTTCAGTTATTTGACTAGTTATAGAAAAAGTGTCTAAAGGTTAGTGTTAACTTTTGTACTCGAGAGGTGACTCAGCCACTTGATTTGACGCAGTAAACCTATAAAATTTGATATTCGACATTGAACTGTCTATCATCGGTGTGTAAAATATTAGGATAAAAGAACTTTGTTTCTCCATTCACTTGTAGATCGCGATCGAATTCCTACATCTCAAAGTGCAAAGTGAATCAGTTGCACCTGACCGAGGATTAACCCTTTGCACTCGGAAGCTTTACATTAGAAACATTCGACACTTCCCGTTGAAACATAGACGACACCTATTTGTAACGAACTAATGAGAAATCATACGTAAATTAAGGAACAAAGCTATTGTATATAAATATTTCACATATTGATGCATTATACGAAACTTAATATTATATATAACACTTTGTAATTTTGTTATATTAAATTAAATGGTGACTGAGAGTCACCTCTCGAGTGCAAAGGGTTAAACTCATTGAAATGCAATCAATAGAAACAAAATTATCTTTCGATTCCCTTTGCAAGAACCGTTTTACTCGAACGAATCCCCGATCGATGATCGGGACATCCCGAAAATCCTCGATCGGCAGGCCGATCTTCCTTGTAAACGGCTCGCTGCGAGATGTTCCGTGCAGATAACGGGCGAACCGTGATGTAATTACCGGACAGATCGCAATCGTTCGAGTGCATTACTGTTACGCGTACACTTTTGCAATGGACGACACAACCGGCGTTGTTTTCCTGGCTTCTCGTCGGGGACGTCGTCGGTTCGTTCTCCAGCGTCTCCATTTTTCCCGCGAACAACGCCGAACTCGCGATACCAATGAACCCTCGCCGCGAGTCGTTCACCGTGTACTGTACTTATCTTGGCACCCTTCGTCGGTTTCGTTCGATCGGCAATTATCTGCCTATCGAAATCGAACGATAAGACGCAGCCAGCCGACGATTAAATCACACGACTACTTACTTAGATCGGCGATCGCGAGTCGGACAACCGTGTAAACGGCCCTTTGTCGACGGACGCCGGTGATTTCGAGCTTTGATACTCCGTATCGACGGATCATTTGATCTTTAAAACTATTTAACACTATTTCTACCGAAAGTGCCAAAATACCTATGGAATGTTTAAATGAAAATTATTTTCCGAGTTTAACCTATATTCTGGATTGACTATTCGACTTTCTCAGTAACGATAATAAAACTAACTACAGGAAATGCCCAAAATTCAATCGAGGAATAATTATTGAGCTGAGAAAATAATATTCAGTTGAAATTTCCAAAGGTGACTGTTGACAGCTTCGATGGAAATAGTGTTGAATACCTTAGATTCTCTTTAGCTTAACTGTTTGGATGCTAAACAACTTTTGTGGATATTTACCAAAAATGCGGAAGTGATTGGGTGTGTATGCAAAAAAATTTAATAAGAGTAATTATCTAATGAGATCACAGATCACAACACAGTTTATTCTATTGTTCCTGGGGAAGTTGATACTCGTTCATTTAGATTTTGGAAATTCTATATGTAGAAATAGACGATCAGGATTCATATTCGTGTAATTGGATCAACGAAAACCGATTGAAACATTTACCAAATAATGTTTATAAAATTCAATCCGAGTCAATTTGACGCGTTCCATAAACCTAGTGTTAATGAAGAAAACTATTTCGAGTACATGAGAGTTTTGATGAATGTTTACGTGGCAGTCAAAGTGTTAAACGAAACTCCATTAGCTAGATAGGGTTATCGTTCAAAGTGGAACGCCGGGAATTAATTGATCTCCCTTACGCCCTTCTGTTGGCCGGATTGAAGGAGCTTCCACCAGAATTTCGCCCGTGTGATCATCTTCCCCGAGTCGCTCCTCTATCCTGTATCTGCAACACGTGGCAAAAGAAACACATCGTCAGAGATAAACAGAAGCCGCGCGTTCTTTAACCGAAACGGTATTTTTCCTCTTCCGTTCAGCGTTGCTTTGATTTATCGTTACGCAAAGCAAGCGGAACGAGAAGTCGCGAAATTAGAGGGAACAAAGGATCGTTTGCTCCGGATACGAAATACACATATTTTGTTCGCTTCTCTCATTTTCTTGGAACCAACTTCGCGATTAACTCATTGCGCGCTGGTAACGAGAAATCTCGTTTTTTTTTTTTATAAAGACACT